TCTCCCTGGGGCCGTGTGACTCATGGTTAATGAGTGGGGGAAGATTATTGGGGAAGGGGACAGTTCCTGCCCTCCCCTCCCCTGCTAAGTGAGGAAACTTCCACGGCCCCAGGCTCATCTGCACCTCGATTCTACCTGCAAATTCTTTTTTTTTATTTTCTCTCAATCATGGTCACAAGGGGACTGGAGAGCGATGGTGACTCAGCCCAATTCATCATCACAATGGAAAAACCCAGTCACCTGTCCTCCTGGCACTGAGACGGAAGCTCCCTGCCTCTGGAAGGGCAGTGTGCCATACTGTTTTCAAGGTCCTTTTGTCTTTCACCTGCTGAAAACACAAAGACTGAACATTGTTACGTGAAGTGCGAACTGGTCACGTTTTGGCCACCAGCATCTGACGTGCCCTTCCTGTGGGGCAGAGCCCAGCTCCCACTGGAGGAACTGAGAACACCTGTGCCCTGCCTCCCTTGCAGCTTTGGCAGAGTACCTGATCTGGGCGCCTCCAATCAGACACCCCCGTTTTTATTTTTTAATTAAATTGATCGGGGTAACATTGATTAATAACATCATATAAATATAAATTTCAGGTGTACGACTTTCAAATACAACATCTGTTTGCTCTATTGGGTGCCCATCACCTGAAGCCTAGTCTCCTTCCGTCAACATATATTTGACCCCTTTAACTACCCCCCCCCCACCTTCCCCTCTGATAACCACCATTCTGGTGTCTGTGTCTATGAGCTTATCTTTTTTTTGTTGTTCATTTGCTGCTCTTTGTTTCGTAGCCCAGATATGAGTGAAATCACATGGTTCTTGGCCTTTTCCGCCTGACTTATTTCACTTAGCATAATGCTCTCAAGATCCATCCATTCTTGACTGTGAATTAGAAACTGGTGACACAAGACCACAAAGAATCCATTCTGGCCAGGATGCAGCAGTGGCAGCCACACCCCTCGGGCCTCAGAGGCAGCCAAGGTCCTGATGGCAGTGTCCTGTATCCTTGCCCAGGGATGTGCCGGCTGCAGCGTCTGTGCCCAGGGACGGGAGTAGTTTTGACACCAGACCAACGCTGCAGTGTTGGGCATGACTCCTGGGATCCTGAGAGCGGCTTGCCCTCCTTTTAACCAAGCCCTTTTCTGCTTAGACCAGCCAGAGTGGGCCTACTGTTCCCGCAACTATCCGGACTTCTATTAGCCCAAGTTTCCCGATGGGGACGTGAAGGCTCAGAGAGACCTTCAGAAAGGCAGTGTCTCCGCTCCAGCTGAGGGACAGGCCAACCTCCTGCCCGTTTTACAGATGGGAAAGGGGACATACAAAGAAGGCAGCGACTTAGGCAGCATCTTTCAGGTAATCAGGAGCAAGGCTGGAGGACACGTCTTAGAGGCCCCCTGTCCCGGCCAACAGCTTGGCCCTCAGTCAAGCTCTGCTTTCAGACTCTGTTATAAACCCTGCCATCCAGCTGTCCCCTGCCATCGCCCTTCGCAGGGGTGAAGAGCAGGGAGCGGGAGGGGCTGAGAGCCTGCCTTCCACTCATTCCTGGGGACTCCTCCAGGAGGGGCCAGGGCCTTCTACGTGCCTCTTTCCTGAGCACCTTTAGTTGCTGCAGTCCTAGGAAGGGGGGTGTCCTTACAGCCACATGTCCTCATCATCTACTGTCTCCACGTTTAGGGCTCAAATTCGCAACCTAACCCACCAGACATGCAAAGACGGGTCATAGTTTCAGAGCTCTTGTTAGCAGCTTTGTGCATCCTGCCGGGGCCTGGATTCCTCTAAGGACTTCAGAACAGGCGAGGCCTCATGGATTATGTCACTAGAACATCAACAATTTGCTTTGTTTAATGACTAGGTCCGAAATTACTGAAAAGGGTAGAACTCAGGAAAACCTGGAAGAATCTCTAATGCAATAACAACGATCTCATCATCAATAATAAAGGCAATCCCGATACACGAAGGCTGCGGGTTCGCTCTCCAGTCCGGGCAAGCAATAAACGCATACATAAGGGAAACAACGAATCGATGCTGCTTTCTCCCCCTCTCCCTTCCTCTCTCAAATCAACAAATAAAAAATTTTTTAAAAATAATAAAAGGGACTGTTTATTCAGCACTTCAACCATCTGCCTGGCACTATACTGAGCACTTTATGTTCCATCATTTAACTTTTAGAGGAACCCTCTGAGGCCAGCACCATCCCAGTTTCACCTAGTACGACACAGAGGCTCAGAGAGGCTAAGTAACTTACTGGGCATCACACAGCCAGTCTGTGTTCTCAGAGCTGGTTCCAGGCTTGTACATATACACAGTCTCCTAGATGCTTTGGACACTGAAGTTCACTCTGCCCCACTGACCTCCTCCCATCCCCTTTACAAAAGAGGAAATTGAGAGGCCAGGATAAGGTGAGTCCCAGAGCTGTAAGGGGAACCCAAGCTTGCTACAGTTTATATGCTGCACCTCAAGCAGGAATGTGCACCCCGCCTCACCAGCTCCCTCCGCCAGCACTGGTGATTCCATTAATTCATAGCAGTTTCCCTGGCCCCCCCATTGTCCTGAGCTCCCACCCCACTGCCCCGCTGGACCTCCCAGGTGACCTGGTCCAGTACACTCCCTCTGCACCAAAAGGCTGGACTCTGTGAGGGGCAGGGCCTGAACTCGGGGGCCCCAGGAGCCCCCCTCCTCCTGGGCTGTCTTACCCAAGTAAATTTTTTCAGTTCATCAGATTTCCACTGTCCCTAAAGTAGGCTTTATCCAGGGACTTTGGCGCTCCCTCCTTTGGGGTCGCAGGTGGGAGCAACACCCCTGGGCCAGTCCAGAGTGAGCCTGAGGAAGACAGGGGTCCCCCAGCTCCCCTTCCCGCTCAGGCAGTGAGCAGGAATCGAGGGGAGCAAGGACCCTGTCGCATGTGGGGGAGGCAGAACATCTCTGCCTGGAGACGGTCGTTCCCACACGAGTTCCCCAAGGAAACCCTGGGGCTCTGAAGGCCGGAGGCGAGGACCCAAGGACCCCGACACCCGGTTCTCCCTGACTCCCCCCACCCCCATCCCCAGGGCCTTTCCCCAGCGGCTCCCAGGCGGCCGCAGGGCAGGTGCCGCCTCCTCTGAGCTGGGGCTCCCCCTGGTAATCGAAACAAACGCAGAGGCGGAGGCCGGCCTCCCCCGGGAGCCCGACGCCCGGAGCTGCGAGGGGATCGCAGGGGCCCGCGGGGCCTCCCTCCCTCCGGCGTCTCGGGAGGCGGGGAGCCCGGGGCAGGGTGGGCGTCC